AGTCAATATCTCAGAATCTTTCATTCTATGTCTTGGTCAATGTGTCATTTATGTAAGCCTGACGGTGACATACCTCAAGTGTAACAACTGTTAGTCTATTATAAATGCAGTAGAATTATTGCCCAGTAAAATGTAACATCAAATATCCATATTTAATTGCATTGGACTCCTCCAAGTACTTACAGGAAAGTTGGTAAGAATATATATTCACACTTGAAAATATTTTGGAATACGTGTAAAATGGATCAAATCCAAATGCCACAGATGGCACTGTCACTAGATGCTAATGAAGTACATAGTAGGAACCACAAGAGACAGTCAATAATAAAGGGGGGAAATGAAAGGGAACACATCAAAGCACCATCAGACGAGTGCAGAAGTACACACATGAACACACCCTGTAGATGCAGAAACACATGGTAGGAACTAAAGCCCCACCACTAATTAGATTTTTTCTCACCAACTCAGGAGTTCGCAAATGAGTTTGCTAAGGGTTAAATGCCCACAATAAAACTGACCAATTTAAACATCACTGAGAGTTACTTAAAGCATTATGTAGAAAGCTACAGACAACAGTGAATTTATTCTGAGCAAGTCTTAATCCATCATCTTCACAGATGGCTAAAGAAAGGGCCTCTAAACATTTTGTCTCGTAATCTCTAAGGTAGTGACCTTCAAACTCTTTTATTATAATGCATGAGAAATACACAGTTTGTATATATTTCAGTACACAAATGAAATATAAGTATGTATATGTGGGTATGCCATGTATTTGTATATTTTGTATGCAATGGATACTATTTACTAATTATTTTATCTCATTTCTTTAAAATTATCATTCTTTGAACTCATCCAGCTGGTCAAGGGTTATCTCCCACAAGAATGGTGGGAAGAAGCTTAAATTTGGGGTGGGGTTAAACATTGCCCTTTTAAGCTGGAGTGTGGCTACTCAGCAATCATTAAAATCCAGGTCTCCGTGAAGCACAACTATGCAGCCATCTGATGCTGTGACTTTGATCGTGTGCTAATTAGTTGCTCACAGAAAGTCTAAATCCAGAAATCACTATCTCCCATTCTTTGAGAACTTCTGAGTGCACTATACTAAAAACTAGAATTAACAAGAAAGATAAAAGATACACTAAATATTAGGTCAGGATTATGACAGCTCTTATTCCAAAAAAGAAACAAAAACAAAACAAAACAAAACCAAAACCAAAACAAGGACCTGGTGCGGTGGCTCACGCCTGTAACCCCAGCACTTTGGGAGGCCAAGGCGTGTGGATCACTAGGTCAGGAGTTCAAGACCAGGCTGGCCAACATGGTGGAACTAAAAATACAAAAATTAGCCAGGAGTGGTAGCGCATGCCTGTAGTCCCAGCTACTCGGGAGGCCAAGGCAGGAGAATCACTTGAACCTGGGAGGTGGAGGTTGCAGTGAGCCAAGATTGTGCCACGGCACTCCAACCTGGGTGACAGAGTGAGACTTCATGTAAACAAACAAACGAACACCTTGAAGAACCACAATTCCTACTCAAGCTGCTTTTTAGAGACAGAGAAATTGAGACATCTCTCTTTTCCTACTCAAGGCATTTCCTTAAGGGAAACCCAGCTGGATGGAATATATAGGAGTCACCTCAACTATATTTCCTAATTTACTTACAAAAAGCTACGTCTGATCAGGGCCCCCTTCCTATGCTTCCTTTTCATGTACTATTTCCCACATTAAACTGCTAAGTAATATAAAAGTAAAGACAACAGGAATCATGCACACAGCTTACTGTCTACGTTAGTGTGAGTTTATACTCCACTAGCTTCATCGACATAAGTTTACTAATACAGGAATCTCTTGCCTAGGAAAATAAACATTGCAAAGAACTTTACTGTTCATTTCAGCAGCTGCCTGAAAGATCCATCAACTCCTCAATAAAAAGTGTCAAATGACGTTTTTCAATCCCGAAACTCTTTGAAGCCCTAGTCTAAAAATCCTTGTCTTGTTGACTCCATCAATCCTAAATCATTATGATTCCTACCCAATTCTAACAAAACTGTCCCCAACTTTAAAAGACCCACTTTACACCAGATTTCAAAATCAGAATAAATGTGCCTAAAGCCAGTCCACATCTGACATACTAGTGGCTCTTTTGAGGTAGTGCTCTTCCTTACAGTGTTATGCAAATAATGTCGGAGCTGCTTTATGAACAGGTTATTTGGATGCTATTTGGGGAGTACAGTTTATGATGAGCACAGTCACTACTGCTGTGCATTATGTCACAGTAGACTGAGCCTAGATCCTACCATCAACATCTATGGAGATTTCTGAACTTTACACTGCCTGAATGACCTACAGGTATATTCATGTAACTCTGTTACTATTCCAGAGACTTAAATGTGCAATAACACAACCTAAAAATAGTAAACAGGTGTGTATTTATTTAGTTTGCATTAGAATTTAGTTAAACTCATTGCAAGCATTATAGAAAACACAGAACCAAATAAAAATTGGTTAATCAAAGCATGTATAAAAATTGGCCAAGGTGGGAGGATCACTTGAGCACAGGAATTCAAGACCGGCCTGAGCAACACAGTGAGACCACTGTCTAAAAAAATAAATCAATCAATTGCCCAGGTGTGGTGTCCACACATGTAGTACCAGCCACTCAGGGGAACTGCTTCTTGAGGATTTCTTGAGCCCAGGAGATCGAGGTTGCAGTGAGGTATGGTTATGCCACTGCCCTCCAGCCTGGGTGACTGAGCGACATCCTGTCTGAAGAAAAGCATTTATAAATATAGATATGAAAATAATTTAGTTCTTTCACAAAAGGTTTTTCTGAGACACGTCCTCCACTAAGGGTGATATGGGACTGTCTGTTCCCAAAGTTTCTGGATGCATGAGAATGGTTGGGCAAGAGACAAAACAAAACAAAACAAAACAAAACAAAAAGATCTCTCAAGTCCCTTTCTTTATGTTCCTGAGACCCTGTGGATGTGAGTCTGGGGACAGCAGGAAAACCCTATCCGGCCCTGCATGTGCCTGACTTAATAGTGTGCATGCCCCTTGCTGGGCAAGTCCTTTGTTGCTCATGTGCCTTAGTGTCTGTCTCCTGTCCCTGCAGAGCCCTGACAGATGGTGACTTTTTTATTTTATTTTATTTTATTTTATTTTATTTTATTTTATTTTATTTTATTTATTTTTTATTGTTTTTAGATGGAGTCTGGCTCTGTTGCCCAGGCTGGCGTGCAGTGGCATGATCTTGGCTCACTGCAAACTCCACCTCCCAGGTTCTAGCAATTCTTCCTCAGCCTCCCGAGTGGCTGGGACTACAGGTGCATACCACCGTGCCCGGCTAATTTTTTGAATTTTAGGAGAGATGGGATTTCAACGTGTTGCCCAGGCTGTTCTCGAAATCCTGAGCTCAGACAATTTGTCTGCCTCGGTCTCCCAAAGTGTTAGGATTATAGGCGTGAGCCACTGGGCCTGGCGACAGATGGTGACTTCTTTCGTTCTTGCCAACTAGGATCCAGACAATAGGTCCGCAGATCATTCCTCCCAGAAGTTGAAGGGGGAGTGAGCGTGAGGAGGGGCGGGTGGTCTTTGCGTGCATCAGGCGACTGGATCCATGGCCATATAGAGAAAAGGGTTGCGAAGTGGTCATCCTTCTACTAAAAGGCAGTGATGCTGCCATGGCCTTGTCGTCATGGGGAGACTAGACAAGGGAGGAAGGAGGGCCCTGGAGGGGAGGAGGGTCAGCTGAACGTGGAGTGAGTTGTGAAGAGGTACACTATTTGAGGTCTTTGAGTCCCTAGAGCATATGAATCCGCTCACAGAGGACGGATTTCAACCTCCTTAGTGGGGACCTGGGAAGGAGAGGAGGACTGGACGTGGCGGGACAAGGAGGGGCAACTCAGCCCACAGGATAAAGTCAGATCTCACTGCGCATGCTTCTTGGGTGGCCGCCTCAGTGCGCATGTTCACTAGACTTCTTCTGGTCGACCTCTTTGCAGCACGTTGCAAACGCTATGGAGCTGAGAGGTTGTGAGGGTTGCTTTCCTGCTGTCTGAACTCTTTCTCCCCTACTGAAATGTAGCGAGTGGGTCCGCAGGGCAGTCCTTCCGGGAGGTGAAGTGAGAATGAGTGTGAGGAGGAGCCAGTAAGCTTCTAAATGGGTCAGGCTGCGTGGTCCCTGACTCAGAGGTAGAAATGCCTAAAGGTCGTTGTCCTTCTCATGCGGCACCACAGCCATGGGCCTTCTGGTCTTGGCAGGGCCACAACTAGGGAGGAAGGAGGGCCACAGAGTGGAGGGGGGTCAGGCGGAGATGGGGCAACTGCTGGGGTTGCTGTTGGAGGTATCAGAGTCCTGGAAGCATCTGGAACCCCCAACAGAGGACAGATTCCAGACTCCTAGGTGGGGAGTCTGGGTGGGTGGGAAGGAATGGGAAGGGACGAAGTGCGTGGCAAGGAAGGAGCCTAGAAACTAGGAATGCCGCGGGCTGGTGACCACAGCCCTGAGGTCTGTAGAGTGCCCGGCAGAGGTGGCCCGTGAGGAGCAGCCAGCGCTGTGTCGCAATTTCTGAACTCCACCATGGAGGTTTGAATGGGCGGGGCTCTGCATTCCAACAAAATTTGATTTTAGGGGGCAAATGGGCCTAGCAAATGGGTGTGTGAGAAAAGCCGTTGTCACTCAAATTTTAATTCTCTAGCTGTATTTTCCTAAATGTCTCCATGATGAAGAGTTCAATTGTGACACCAAAAACCTTATCAGAAATTTCCTGCGTCTTTGCCAGGAGCCTTAAGACATTGCTGTGCTAGCTTGACCAACAAGTTGCTTTGCAAACATATGATTCAGAAGACATACACACACATTTGCCCCTGGGACTTACTTTCAAAGTTTTTCCAAATTAAAAAAAAATTACAAGTTAACATTTGTCCATAAAAGTGGCCAAATATAGCTATCCTCTCAAGTGCATTTTCCCAATCACCATATTCTGTTTGCATAGTGAAATATGAGGTACCAAGGAAGATCAACATATAGGCCTATACCAAGATGAAGTTTATGACCTTCTGAGCTGACTGTGCCTCTGCTTGTGAGTGCCTTAACATTCAATATTTTCTATTAGCAGAACGTTATTTTTGTGATAGTGTTGTTAAACTAGTATACATACACTGGTAAAGGTCTTCTGTGCTGATACAAAAATGATCATGGCATCTCATGAAGGACAGACTAATGCAAGAGGATTATGTTCTGGTTTTGTCTGAATGGATGATCTTCTGTTCCCCGGTTTTTTGCCCATGACTTCCTTCTTGTGCTTATTGATAACTGATTGCACACATCTGTACCAAGATAGATTAAAATGGCTTCCAAAGCCCTTGAGGGTGACTGTCTTAGAGTAAACTCTCTGTGGGAAGAGTAACTTTATGAAACATTAAGAATATGAAATAGTGTTGGAGAAATGTCTTTAGACTTATGATCAGAAGTATCTATGTATTCTGTACACTTATATTATTGAGATGTATGCCAGTGTATTTGCACACACTCACTGCTCCTGGTCCCGGGAGCCCAGTCATGAAGAGTCTCAAGAAGAGGAACCACTAACTGAAAGTCAGGATCCTACACCTGGTCAGGAAAGAGAAGAAGATCAGGGTGCAGCTGAGATTCAAGGTGCTGGGAAGGGAAAAAAAGATGTCTGTGGGAAGGGGAGGAGGCCTATGTGTGCATCACGCATTATGCCATGACCAGTAAGGGGAGGAAAGAAAACATTAGGAAAGGATCGCAAACATTTGCTGAAATTTGGCTGTAAAAGTGAAGAGTATAGTTTGCCATCTTATGCAGTCTCTGGATATAATGAATCTTCTGTTTTTTCTTTGCGATCTACTTTGTATGCTTGCAAATACAGTCCTTGCTAAATTAGGACTTAGGTGACCACAGCCTTGAGTTCTGTAGAGCGCTTGGTAGAGGTGTCCAGTGAAGAGCACCCAGCACTGTGTTGCATCTTCTCAACTCCACCCTGGAGATTCGAATGGGAGGGGCTCTGCATTCCAACAAAACTTGAGTTTTGAAACCATCTGACGTAAGAAAATGTACATTATTTCACTAGTGTAATTTGATCTTCTTAGAATGTTGTATCATCTTCTCAGCTGTGGTGTCCACAGTGTTGTATGTACCCTTTAATAGCACGTAGAGTGCCAAGTCACCCTACCTTGTAACACCCTGAATAAAGCCCATTTGCATAGGGATGTTAGCCCCATTTTATAAATAAGAAAACTGAGGCTCATGGGTTGAGGTTTACCAAAGAACACTTGAGTCATGGAGACAGAATTCATATTTCGTTTCAAGATGATGATTCTTCCTATCATCTATGCTGTAAGAGAAAGTGACTGGTTTTGCTTAAGATGCATAATACTCAAATATGGCTGTACTGTAAGGTACTTCAGTATTGGCTCAGGACAAAACACGGCTCAGTGAAGCAGGATAGAAATTCCAGAAAAAAGCTCAATGAATGACAGCCACTGTTTCCTTTCGTTGGTGTTTTTGACAGTATGTTTGGTAAAAGTTGGATAATTCAGGACACTGGCATATGAATAGCTATATTAGTATGATTTTGAGGGACTTCTAAAAGTTGTTTAAACACTTTTATAATTAAAAAACTTAAAGTGCCATAAGATTATCATGAAACAGAAATTGTTTCCTCAACAGGTAGCATTTTCAAGGTAAACACTGACAGAATTTGGGCCATGGATTATTTAGCAATTCACTGTTAAGGGGTTTCCAGAATATGGCTGTCCATAATGCTGGTTTGTTTGTTTATTTATGTATTTATTTATTTTAAATTATACTTTAAGTTTCTGGGATGTATGTGCAGAATGTGCAGGTTTGTTACAGAGGTATACACATGCCATGATGGTTTGCTGCACCCATCAACCTGTAATCTACATTGGGTATTTCTTCTAATATTCTCCCTCCCCTAGCACCCCCAGCCCCCAACAGGCCCTGGTGTGTGATGTTCCCCTCCCTGGGTCCATGTGTTCTCATTGTTCAACTCCCACTTATGAGTGAGAACATGCAGCGTTTGGTTTTCTTTTCCTGTGTTAGTTTGCTGAGAATGATGGTTTCCAGCTTCATCCATGTTCCTGCAAAGGACATGAACTCATCCTTTTTTTTATGGCTGTGTAATATTCCATGGTGTATATGTGCCACATTTTCTTTATCCAGTCTATCATTGATGGGCATTTGGGTTGGTTCTGAGTCTTTGCTATCGTGAATAGTGCTGCAATAAACATATGTGTGCATGTTTCTTTATAGTAGAATGATTTATAATCCTTTGGGCATATACCCAGTTATTTATTTGCACTCAACTTCCTGTACTCTCACTGTGGGACAGTGATTTTGCTGTTGTTGTTGGTACTTTATTCTCATTGAGATTCATCTATGGAAAGTTACGTATAGGGCCTTTGGACCTAAGCATAACTTTAATTAATTTTAACCAGAAAATTTTCAAGTTACTTCAACAAGGGATGGGTGTCACGACTGTATGACTTGTCATAAGCCAGCCAATACATTGATGTAAACTTTCAGAAAATTACATTTAAGTTATGATTACAATGCTATTTATGTGGCAGATTTCAGATATCTTAGATAGTTGATACTTGCTATTCCTAATACACAATGGTAACATATGGAAAATGTAGGTGTAATGTGGTTTATCCTTAGATTGTCATTTAAAATAAGATTTCAGGCCAGGACCAGTGCCTCATGTATATAATCCCAAAACATTGGGAGGACAAGGCCAGCAGATTCTTGAGCCCAGGAGTTTGAGGCCAGCCAGGCAACACGGGGAAACCCCATCTCTACCAAAAAATACAAAAATTATACTTGGTGGTGGCATTCACCTGTAGGCTCAGCTACTCGTGAGGCTTAGACAGGAGGATCCGTTGAGCCCAGAAGGTTGGGCCTGCAGTGGGCCGAGGTGGTACCACTGCACTGCAGCCTGGACAGAGTGAGACCCTGCCTCAAAAAACAATTAAATACATAAAATAAGACTTCATAATACGAGAAAACGAAATTGTAACATTTTTGCATCACATTTATTATGACACTAGCCTACAGGTTTTTATTTCATAATCCTGAGGAAAAGAATATTATCATTTCCTTATTTATATTTTATGTTTGTCTGCTTCAGTTGATAATTTTTGCATTTTTAAGTGTCTGACCTGGAAGCTGATCTCCAAGAGCTGTCTCAGTCAAAGACTGGGAATGAATGCAGAGATGATCCTGATGTCAAGGAGAAGATTCTGCCAAAACTAGAGCATTTTAAAATGCCAGAAGCAGGTACATTATCCATTAAATGCAAAATTAGGTGCTTTATGTTTTCTACAAAATTATACTTTTGATAATAAAAAGAGAGAATATTAGTGCCCCTTTAAAAACAGAACTTAAATGCAGACTTTCTTTGAAAGGTAGTTCAGACCCTGAATGCCTGACTGCAAGACTTAAACACTATCAGATACAGAAACAAATTGGGTCAAAGCCATATTGAATCGTCAAATGTGAAAGCATTTTCTTCTGAGTGTAACCAACAGCTAACAATTTCTGATTAGTTTTTAATTTCTGCTTTTAAAAAATACATTGTAATATCATTTGTAATACAGTTTGTGTGAAATGTGCTGAGAACTGAAGAGGATTCTAGTACCAGCTCTACCATAATTTGTGAGATTCTTAATGAATCCCATAAATTCTACACCCACGTTTGCTCTTATTGAAAATAGTGAATTAACATCAGATTAAATTCCATTTCAGTGCTGATTTCTGCATGCTGTGGTTTTGTTGGATAGAATACACAGATACTCGACTTTCATGATTTGTTTATCATAATAATCAGCTTCAGTTCAATTATAATATCTGAGTTGAGACTTCATTGCTCCTAAGAAAATAAACAACCACTCTGTTTGATATTTGTTTCTCTATATGGAGACCTTAATGACTGTTCTTGGATTTTGTCAACTTCTGAATTCTGTAGCTCTTAGTGAAGCCTTGAATATCTGAATAATAGAATGGCAGGAGACAGGTTTCTGTGGCGCATGAAGTAGGGAGAATGCATGTAGGTCAGTGAGCATGCTCCTTGCCCTACTGTTAGTCTTCATGAGCTACTGTGTGTAATTAGATTGAAGACACATATAATAGAATCACCTCTAACTATATCATAGATTACATATTACAAATTTCTATCTTGAGATGTCAGTTAATAGGATCTAAAGTTTAAAGTCCGAGGGCACGCCCAAGATGGCCGTATACGAACAGCTCCAGCCTCCAGCTCCCAGCATGAGCGACACAGAAGACAGGTGATTTCTGCATTTTCAACTGAGGTACTGGGTTCATCTCATTGGGGCATGTCGGACAGTTGGTGCTGGTCCGTGGGTACAGCCCGACCAGCAAGAGCTGAAGCAAGGCGAGGCATCACCTCACCTGGGAAGCACAAGGGGGAAGGGAATTCCTTTTCCTAGCCAAAGGAAATTGAGACACACAACACCTGGAAAATCAGGTAACTCCCACTCTAATACTGTGCTTTACCAATGGTCTTAGCAAACGGCACACCAGGAAGATATATCCCACACCTGGCCCAGAGGGTGCCATGCCCACGGAGCCTCCCTCATTGCTAGCACAGCAGTCTGAGATCTAACTGCAAGGCAGCAGCGAGGCTGAGGGAGGGGCACCTGGCATTGCTGAGGCTTAAGTAGGTAAACAAAGCCACTGAGAAACTCGAATTGGGTGGAGCCCACCACAGCTCAAGGATGTCTGCCTGCCTCTGTAGACTCCACCTCTGGGGACAGGGCATAGCTAAACAAAAAGCAGCAGAAACCTCGGCAGAGGAAAATATCCCTGTCTGACAGCTTTGAAGAGAGCAGTGGATCTCCCAGCATGGAGGTTGAGATCTGAGAACAGACAGACTGCCTGCTCAAGTGGGTCCCTGAACCCTGAGTAGCCTAACTGGGAGACATCCCCCACTAGGTGCAGACTGACACTTCACACCTCACAAGGCTGGGTACAACCCTGAGATGAAGCTTCCAGAGCAAGAATCAGACAGCAACACTCGCTGTTCAGCAGCATTCTATCTTCTGCAGCCTCCGCTGCTGATACCCAGGCAAACAGGGTCTGGAGTGGACCTCAAGCAAACTCCAACAGACCTACAGCTGAGGGGCCTGACTGTTAGAAGGAAAACTAACAAACAGAAAGGACACCCACACCAAAACCCCACCAGTACGTCACCATCATCAAAGACCAGAGGCAGATAAAACCACAAAGATGGGGAAAAAGCAGGGCAGAAAAGCTGGAAATTCAAAAAATCAGAGTGCATCTCCCCCTCCAAAGGAACGCAGCTCATCGCCAGCAATGAAGCAAAACTTGACGGAGAATGACATTGATGAGTCAAGAAAAGAAGGCTTCAGTAAATCAAACTTCTCAGAGCCAAAGGAGGAACTATGTAACCAGTGCAAAGAAACTAAAAACCTTGAAAAAAGATTTGACGAACGGCTAACTAGAATAACCAATGTAGAGAAGTCCTTAAAAGAACTGATAGAGATGAAAACCATAACACGAGAACTATGTGACAAATGCACAAGCTTCAGTAACCGAGTTGATCAACTGGAAGAAAGAGTATCAGCGATTGAAGATCAAATGAATGAAATGAAGCTAGAAGATAAGTGTAGAGAAAAAAGAGTAGGGGGGCGGAGCAAGATGGCCGAATAGGAACAGCTCCAGTCTCCAACTCCCAGCGGAGCCACACAGAAGACCGGTGATTTCTGCATTTTCAACTGAGGTACTGGGTTAATCTCACTAGGCAGTGCTGGACAATCGGTGCCGGTCAGCTGCTGCAGCCCGACCAGCTAGAGCTGAAGCAGGGCGAGGCATTGCCTCACCTGGGAAGCGCAAGGGGAAAGGGAATCCCTTTTCCTAGCCAGGGGAACTGAGACATACAACACCTGGAAAATCGGGTAACTCCCACCCCAATACTGCGCTTTAAGCAAACAGGCACACCAGGAGATTATATCCCACGCCTGGCCAGGAGGGTCCCACGCCCACGGAGCCTCCCTCATTGCTAGCACAGCAGTTTGTGATCTCGTGGCAAGGCAGCAGTGAGGCTGGGGGAGGGGCCATTGCTGAGGCTTAAGTAGGTAAACAAAGCCCTGGGAAGCTGGAACTGGGTGGAGCTCACAGCAGCTCAAGGAAACCTGCCTGTCTCTGTAGACTCCACCTCTGGGGACAGGGCACAGTAAAAAAAAGCAGCAGAAACCTCTGCAAACGCAAACGACTTTGTCTGACAGCTTTGAAGAGAGCAGTGGATCTCCCAACACAGAGGTTGAGATCTGAGAAGGGACAGACTGCCTGCTCAAGTGGGTCTCTGACCCCTGAGTAGCCTAACTGGGAGACATCCCCCACTAGGGGCAGTCTGACACCCCACACCTCACAGGGTGGAGTACACCCCTGAGAGGAAGCCTCCAAAGCAAGAATCAGACAGGTACACTCGCGGTTCAGCAATATTCTATCTTCTGCAGCCTCTGCTGCTGACACCCAGGCAAACAGGGTCTGGAGTGGACCTCAAGCAATCTCCAACAGACCTACAGCTGAGGATCCTGACTGTTAGAAGGAAAACTATCAAACAGGAAGGACACCTACACCAAAACCCCATCAGTACGTCACCATCATCATCAAAGTCCAGAGGCAGATAAAACCACAAAGATGGGGAAAAAGCAGGGCAGAAAAGCTGGAAATTGAAAAAATAAGAGCGCATCTCCCCCGGCAAAGGAGCGCAGCTCATTGCCAGCAACGGATCAAAGCTTGACGGAGAATGACTTTGACGAGATGAGAGAAGAAGGCTTCAGTCCATCAAACTTCTCAGAGCTAAAGGAGGAATTACATACCCAGCGCAAAGAAACAAAAAATCTTGAAAAAAAAGTGGAAGAATTGATGGCCAGAGTAATTAATGCAGAGAAGGTCATAAACGAAATGAAAGAGATGAAAACCATGACACGAGAAATACGTGACAAATGCACAAGCTTCAGTAACTGACTCGATCAACTGGAAGAAAGAGTATCAGCGATTGAGGATCAAATGAAAGAAATGAAGCGAGAAGAGAAACCAAAAGAAAAAACAAGAAAAAGAAATGAACAAAGCCTACAAGAAGTATGGGATTATGTAAAAAGACCTAATCTACGTCTGATTGGGGTGCCTGAAAGTGAGGGGGAAAATGGAACCAAGTAGGAAAACACTCTTCAGGATATCATCCAGGAGAACTTCCCCAACCTAGTAGGGCAGGCCAACATTCAAATTCAGGATATACAGAGAACGCCACAAAGATACTCCTCGAGAAGAGCAACTCCAAGACATATAATTGCCAGATTCACCAAAGTTGAAATGAAGGAAAAAATCTTAAGGGCAGCCAGAGAGAAAGGTCGGGTTACCCACAAAGGGAAGCCCATCAGACTAACAACAGATCTCTGGGCAGAAACTCTACAAGCCAGAAGAGAGTGGGGGCCAATATTCAACATTCTTAAAGAAAAGATTTTTCAACCCAGAATTTCATATCCAGCCAAACTAAGTTTCATAAGTGAAGGAGAAATAAAATCCTTTACAGATAAGCAAATGCAAAGAGATTTTGTCACCACTAGGCCTGCCTTACAAGAGACCCTGAAGGAAGCACTAAACATGGAAAGGAACAACCGGTACCAGCCATTGCAAAAACATGCCAAAATGTAAAGACCATCGAGGCTATGAAGAAACTGCATCAACTAATGAGCAAAATAACCAGTTAATATCATAATGGCAGGATCAAGTTCACACATAACAATATTAACCTTAAATGTAAATGGACTAAATGCTCCAATTAAAAGACACAGACTGGCAAACTGGATAAAGAGTCAAGACCCATCAGTCTGCTGTATTCAGGAGACCCATCTCACATGCAGAGACATACATAGACTCAAAATAAAGGGATGGAGGAAGCTCTACCAAGCAAATGGAGAACAAAAAAAAGCAGGGGTTGCAATACTAGTCTCTGATAAAGCAGACTTTAAACCATCAAAGATCAAAAGAGACAAAGAAGGCCATTACATAATGGTAAAGGGATCAATTCAACAGGAAGAGCTAACTATCCTAAATATATATGCACCCAATACAGGAGCACCCAGATTCATAAAGCAAGTCCTTAGAGACTTACAAAGAGACTTAGACTCCCATACAATAATCATGGGAGACTTCAACACTCCACTGTCAACATTAGACAGATCAACGAGACAGAAAGTTAACAAGGATATCCAGGAATTGAACTCATCTCTGCAGCAAGCAGACCTAATAGACATCTATAGAACTCTCCACCCCAAATCAACAGAATATACATTCTTCTCAGCACCACATCGCACTTATTCCAAAATTGACCACATAATTGGAAGTAAAACACTCCTCAGCAAATGTACAAGAACAGAAATTATAACAAACTGTCTCTCAGACCACAGTGCAATCAAACTAGAACTCAGAACTAAGAAA